CGGGCCCCGGTCCGGGGGGGGCGCAACACTGAGGGTTGCGATCCGTTGCCGGACACGGAAAGGGACAAAAAGGAAAAAAAAAAAAAAAAAGTCCAAGTGGAAGTAAACACAGGTGGCAGCCCCACAGATGCCCTTTGCCCAGGTGGCCCTTGCCCTCCTCAATGACACTAGATGACAGCCCAGCCAGAGAACAAGTTGGGCCTCAAGGGCCAGGAAGGTCCTCCCTAGTTACAGGCCTGGTTCTCAGCAGGAACAACCATTTAACAGAACCTGAAAAGCTACAAGCATCTTCTCTGGCACTGTGCATTTCACTCTTTTTTAAAGGGCAGAGATAATTAAGTTTGAATAGTACTTATTTTTCATGTTTTAGGGATAATTATAATAAAAATCATTTAAATGACACCCTACGGGAAATACATGCCAAATGCCATGTCAAACCAGCCACCGAAGGCTTGGCAGCTGTGATTTGGCAGCTGATGGGAAAAGGAGTGGCATGTCCACATGTGCCCTGCAGAGCTGGCCAGAGAGGTCACTGGGCAGCTCTGAACCCACTGAGGGCCAGGCTGGCCAGGGCAAGAGGCAGCCACTCAGAGGGCCCACATCCTGCTCCATCTGGAGTCTGGGATAAAGTAAGGGCAGGTCATGCCAAGACCCATCATATGGGAGATCCTAACAGAAACAACCAGACCAGGAGAGGATGCGTCAGCAGGGAAGCCAATGCCACCCCAGACACTCCCTTCAAGTGTAAGGAACAGCTTTGGCAGGAGAGAGGAGAAGCCCCCCTCTCAAAGGGGTTCTCATTCTTCAGAAGAGGCCAGCACCTAGAGACCCTAGCCTGCACAGGCCTGCTCTGCCAGCAGCTGGGCCCCACATGACTTACAGGAGGACTTCCCAAGAGACCAAGGTCAGAGCTGACACCTACTCACTCTGCAGTGAGCACCAACGAAGACAATAAACTAATGCCGCACAGCACAGACAAAAGGGAGCCCTCTAGAAAATGAAATTCGAAGAGGTCTTGCCAGCTAGCTGACCACCTGCACGCAGTTAATGAATAATTAATAGGGCCAAATTACGGCAGTCATTATCCATTTACAGTGGCCACAGCCTGCCTTCAGCTACAGACGATGCTCCCGCGTTTCATTCTGCTCACTGCAGAATGCGGCAGCACTTGCTCCACAGAGGAAGTCAGCAACCATTTCAAGATTTCATTAGGTTGTCAAAGAAAAGCAGACCTCTCCAAAGCAATGCAGCCGCCTACTCCCGGAGACCACTACTGCATGCGAGACGGAGCACGCAGCAGCACTACCTCAGGGACAAGGGAGAGCCACTTATAAGGAGAGGTGATCAAGAGGAGGCCTGCCATGGTCAGCGGAGCGAGCCCAGAGAGGTACATGACTACGGATGCTGGCAAATGCCTAGCCAGGCCTGCAGCTGCCCAGATCAGAGGCCCCAGAAACCACCTGGTGTAAGAACCAAAGGAATGCTTTCGGCTTCGTTTCAGGAAGGTCTGTGCCCCTCAAAGAGGGTCCCACAAACTCCCCTGGCAAAAGAGGGAACTAGGGGTTGGCCACGAGAGAGTCCAAGGAAGCCCTGGTCCTCATGATACAAGGTGTGCACATGGGGTGGGGGACAATGCTGTGAAAAGCCACAAGCACACAGACTGCACACCACACCCACCCACACACATATCCCAAATCCCCCCCACGCATCACACCACACACACACATGCCCCCGCCACATCACACTACACACACACGCACCACACCACATATACCCACACACACCACACACACACCCCGTACCCCCCACCACACACACAAGACACCACACACATACATTCCTCCACACACACACCATATGCCCCCCCTCACATCACCACACACACACACAACACACACATCGCCAACACCCTATGTGCATCACACACACACACACACACACACACACACACACACACACACACACACACACACACACACACACACACACACACACACACACTTAGTGGAATGAAAAACCGTTTATCATGTTCATGGACTCAAAGGTCGGGAATTCAGACAGAGCCCAGAGAGGATGGCTAATCTTTGCTCCACAACATCTAGGACCTCAGCAGGTGGAAGGCTGGGCTCAGAATCACTGGAAGGCTTGCTGGAACCAATGGTTGGTGCTGGCAGTCAGCCAGTCTCTCCACATGGGTGAGTTTGGGCTTCCTAGCAGTGTGGTAGCTGCATTGCTAGGGCAAGCATCCCACGAGAGGAGCAGGTGGAAGTCATGCTGTACTTCCAATCCAGCCTCAGAAGTCACACAGCGACACTGCCACTGGGTGAGTTTGGGCTTCCTAGCAGTGTGGTAGCTGCATTGCTAGGGCAAGCATCCCACGAGAGAAGCAGGTGGAAGTCATGCTGTACTTCCAATCCAGCCTCAGAAGTCACACAGCGACACTGCCATATCTGTACACTGAGGTAGTCAGGAGGTCCTGACCGGAGTCAAGCAGGAAGGAAAACAGATTCCACCTCTTGACATTGCTGTGGCCATTCCTGGATGTTATAATCTACTCCCTGGCTTCATCACCACCTCATGTCAGTGTCACAAATGTAACCGTCCCAACAGGGACCAACGCTGTAACTACAGCCCCGGGGATCCCTCCCAAATAGCATCACCGTCGTTCCACAAGGAAGGAGTGGGAACCAGACAGCAACCAGACCCTCTCTCAAGCCCCATGACCTCTGCAGAGAGGCCACGCTGAGCCACCAGGCCAGCTTGGCTTCCAACTGCAGCTCCACAAGACCAGACCACAGGACCTGCACACCTCGCACCACCACAGAGCCTGCTTCCTCTGTGATAACACAGCAGTCATGAGGATTCATCCAGGAATAGGATAAAGATCACTACAGGATGAGAAGGCAGCAGTCAGGTGAGGGCTCTCAGTGGCAGCCCAGCCACCCCCTCCCTGACCTCCCTCGCAAGGGTCAAACCAGGGAAACATCCCCTGCAGAAACACAGACTGCTTCTCTTCTGCTGCCAATTTCGCTTAAAGCTGAGTCTTTGCATGAAAGCTGATGGCCCAAGACCAGGCAGTGATCCTGCCAGGTGGCCTCAGGACAACTGTTGGCAGCTTGTGAGCCTGAACCCCTCACTCCAGGATAGCAGAAGAGCTACGTATGCCAGGGCCAACAAAGGAGCTTGTGGAGATTGCACTGAAGGGTGGGGGAGCATGAGGGGTGGCACATGAAGCATAGACAGTCTGGGGAACTCTGCTGTGGCCCTGGCCCTCTTCAAAAAGCCCAGTCCCTGAAGCCACCAGGTGCCTTGTCATTCAAACCAGCCATAGGCTCACAGCCCACCTGGAAATGAGTGTTCTGGGGCTCTATGCAGTGAAGGCTACAATTTACACATTAGCCCAGAATAATCACCCTCCAAGCAGAAATGATACGTTGGAAAGCAGCGGACATTTAGCAGGATCCTCTGATCACCTCAACATCCCTGGTTAAGTACAGCTTCTGCCTCAGTAGTTCTGAGTAGGCAGGAACGGCTCCTGGGGGGCCTGGAGCTGGCAAGCGCCATGGAGAAGGGGGAAAGGGGAGCCTCTGGGCATGGCCCCAGCCTCTAGGCCCACACTTGTCACACAGTGTAACCTTAGAGCCCCTATCCTATCTTACTGATGAACAGAGGACAGAGCCTATATCTGTGTCTAGAGGCAGGCATCCTGCATGTGATGAGCCTCAGAGAAGGCCCCCAAGCTCCTCTATCTGACCCAAACATCATGCCCATTGATGCCATGCAGGAGTGACTGCCCACTGAGGCCAAAGCCTCAGCCGGAGCATTTGAGGAAAGCTGGCAGTCCAGAGTTTCAAGATTAACGAACCGCATCTCCAAACACACACAGACTACCAGTCTGTAGCTGCAGCTCTGATGCTCCTTCCCAATCAAGGTGCAGAGCTCTGGCCCAGAGCAGGCCATCAGAGGGCCTGACCACTAACCCAACCTCCCACTGCTCTTTCCATTCCAGCCACCCACAGGCCCAGCCCTGCACTCCCACTCCCACCCCACCACCCCCAGCCAGCCAGTGGGTCAACAGCCACAGTAACATGGCCTGGACTACTCCTTACTTTCCCATCCAGGTGGCATAGCTGGCAGGAAGCCTGGGCACAAACAGGGTTGACTTCCCAGTGTCAACATCGATGGTGCCGTAGCAGCCTGGCTCAGTGACACCAAATGCCCAGTGAAAGAAGGATTCCTGTGGTGGGAACAAGGACCCTCATTACCAGTGAGCAGGACAGAAACCTGAGACACAAGGAGGAGGTGGGCAGCTGATTGGGCACCTTCTTTCCAAGACCCCAGAGAGCCAGCTTGGTCCCCCTCCTCCTGGAAACTGACCCCCAGCCTGACACAGCCCTTCCACCTCAGCACCTGGTTCCTTGCTCCAACTGCCCATCCATCCTTCCCTGGTTTTGCAGGGGGCAGCCTGGCTGGCTCTTTTGACCCTGTTTCCAGCCCTCTCTGATGACAAGGTCTCATGCATGTATCCCAGCCCACCTGCATCATTCCCACCTCACCAGCCCTAGCCCCTAGGCCCATGACAGGGCACCCTGGGATACAGGTGCCCAGCAGCACCACAGGCCCGGCTCAGCCATGCCTGTGCCTCTTGGCCACCTGCAGACAGGCAAGACGCCACCTTGATTTAGACGCTCCGGCCAGACATCTGTACCAAAATGGATTCCTCTCTTTAGGACTTCTTGCTTCCCTGTCCCACCCCCGGGGCAGCTGATGACTGCAGCGTTTAGCAATGAACACTGAGCTAAAACAGTGTTATAAAGGTATGAGGTGGAGGAGGATCTCCTCTAAAATTAGCCTTGCATAACATCAGTAAGGGAGCCAACAGGTGAATTTAGGAAATTGGTTTTTAAACCACAGAATATATAAACCTCAGGAAGCATCAAGACTAGTCAGAAAAAAACCATCTAGACCTCCACGTCTTTAGCAGCTAGGGGATTGCAGGCTTGCAGCTGCAAAACTGATGGAGAGGGAAGGAACCCTTTGGGCAGCAGGTGCCTTCACTAAAAATCACTCTACACTCACTCTGAGCAATGCATCTCAGCCCACTGGGGTGGACGCAGTCCAGCTGGGGAGGACATGTCTTGCCATCTCCTCTCCACACTTAGCTCCCCTTTGCATTCCTCTATCTCCTCCTGCCCCCCGCCAACCTGGACACTGGACGGCCATGTCCCCTAGGCTTTGCCTGTCCCCGGAGAGGTTCTGAACTTCCCACTGTGGTCAGGCCCCAGCTCTGGGCATGGCAGTGCACAGAAAAGAGCCCCAGGAACTCAGCCTCCCCATCTGCACCTCGACCCTTTGCTGCTCCCTGGCTGTGGCAAGCTGCCCTCCCCATCCTCAACTTGCCCACTCCTATGCAAACCATCCTCCCAATGGGCAGAATTTGCCCTGGCCTTCAGGGCCCACGCCAAACGCTGCCTACTTCATGAAGCCTTGCCTGCTTGCTCCCAGGATCATCCCTCTATACCCTGACCTGAAAGAGCTGAGCCTGGCTGGTGACAGCTCTGCCCCCAGGCATGGCTAGGAGGGTACTGACCCCCCAGAGTCTGGGCTCCCCGGCCCTGTACTGCCTCCTGTGGGCCTTACCAGGGTCCCCCAAAGGGCAAAGCCGGTTCCCCCTAGGTCTGGTGCTGGAAACAGGCAGACAGGCCTACAGGAAGCCTGGTGCACGGAGATGTGGAAGCCAAGGGGCAGACTCACCTGGCGGAAGACTAAGGTGATGTCGGTGCAGTAGTGCGGGGTCTCCTCCCCACCCTGCAGCACCACGACAGAGCCGGCCTGCACAGCAGGGTTCTTCCGCAGACGCTCACACAGGCGCTGCCTGTTAAGGGCAAAGAGTGCCAGAGGCACCTTCAGGGTTTCGTTACCCAGCCAAAATGAAGGTCTGCAAAGACATGAACACACACCGCCTCTGTTAGCACCACCAAGCATGTCCTCCTCTGTGGTCTGAGCCTGCTGTAGGGCCCCCACCAGCATGCAGCAAGTCAGCTCGAGCTCAACCTGCTTGTGACCCAGAAACAGCCCCTCACTGGGCTGCCCTCTCCTGCTGTCCCTGAGTGCTTAGCCCACAAGTGAGGATGAGGAACATCTGGGTCTGTTTAGCCTGTGGGCAGGTGAGGCCCATGGAGGGAAAGCCTGCAATGGTTTAAGACACATGCTTGACTCACCCTCAAGGAGCTTACCATCCAGTTGGACAGTCAAGAAACACATGGTCTGACCCAGAAAACATCCCCGCCTCAGCCTGACCACCGGTGCTCTCCTCAATCCACCCCAATCGGGCCTCCACACACTGACCCCCTTCCCACAAACCACAACTACCGCATGCTGTCCTCACCAGGCTTCTCGCTGCCCATGACACTGGGGCCACTACCTCTGCTGAAACCCCGCCCAACACCAGCTCCTCCAGGCTCCCTCCATCCTCAGCCTCCCTCTCTGCCAGCTCAACCTCCACTCTGGAGGCCCAGGGCTTGGTCCTGAGACCTCTTCCCTATCTTGGCTCCCTCCCTCAGCACAGCTGAGCCTACCCAGTCCCTTGGCTTTAAGTACCATCTACACCCACAGGCCGATGACATCCTCCTCCAGATTCACAGATCCTACTGGCCACCCAACACTGCCTCTCAGGTGCCAGTTACCTTGAACTCAGTGCGCACAATGCAGACCTGAACCCTGTCTCCTTGTGACACCAAAATTGCTCCTTCCCAACCTCCCCCTGACAGCTGCTTAGATCCCTGTCTCCTCTTTCATTCTACCTCCAATCAATCTGCAGAACCATGGGCTCTACCATACACCCACATCCAGAACCTGACCCCTCTCCCCATCCCCAGGGCCACTTCCCCAGAGTGGCTCATCCCCACCTCCTGCCTGGACAACTGCAGGGAACTCTTGGCTGCTCTCTTGGTTCCAGTTTCTCCCACAGACCCAATGCAAATCCTAACTGGCACTTCGCTGCTCAACCCCTCATTGGCTTCCTTGTGCCTTATAACAGAGTGCAGACTTACTCCTCAGCCTGCAAGGCAATGAGGAGCCTGGGGGGCCTCCACTTCACCCCTTGATTTCCTCTGCTGCAGCACAGGCATTCTTGCTCTTCCCTAAATACCACAAACACTCCACCCTTTGCTGCTGCTGTTCCTGTGGGAATGCCTTTCTGGCAGGCTCACGTTCTCACTTTATCCACGCCTCTGCAGAAAGGCGCCTTCTCCCAAGAGCAACTTTTCCTAGTCACCCAATCCAAACCTCATCCCCTTGCTATCTTCATTTCTCTCTAGAACATTCATCACTATTTAACTTATTTGCTTTTGTCTCCACATGAAATGGAAGCTCCATGAGCGCAAGGACAAAGCTGATGTCAATGTCTGCTGAATGAATAAGTGGAGGAAGAAAGGGCAGTCCCAGCAAGCAGGCTGGGAGCCAAAGTACGCCCCAGCAGGCTCTCCAGCCAGGGGGCAGTGGGTAAGCATGCAGGTCGAGGAGGGCAGGGACAGCCCAGAGCTGGTGCCAGCAGAGGGCTCTGCCCAGAGACTGCAGAGAGCAGCAGACGGAACCTTCCCTCACAGCACTGCAGCCATGAGAAGGCCTCTGAGCACCTCCCACACTCACCTTGCAAGGGACCCTCAAGGGCTCTGACCCTCACACCAGGGACACACAAGCAGGGGACACCTCTTCCACATCTTGGCTCCAATGCCACCTTCTCAGGATGTTCTTCCCTGGCTTCCCTCTTTGAACTTGCAACTCTCTCTCCGGGCCTGATGCCCCACGTAGCACAGGGCTGGGTTTTCCCCACTTGCCCTCCTGATCCACCCCCACCCTGCTCTGTGCCCAAGGCCAACCTACACAACCTCATCAGCATGCACCCTGCCTCTGGCCTCCAGGTGGACTTTGTCAGTGGAAAGCACAAGCGATTGGGAGGGTGGGGGGAGAGAGAATCCACTTCTCTGGCTCCCTCCCTGGAGGGCCAGGCAGAGTCCCTCCACCTAGGGTCACAGCTCTGGCCAGGCTGCCCTGTGCCACAGTGCAGCCCTCGCTGGGTTCTTGACTCTTCTTTCCCAGGTTCTGTAACCTGCCCACAGCTCTGTAACCTGTCTCTGTATTAAACTCTTTTCAGTCACCTCCTTGAGTGAACTACTGGCTTCTGGCCAGGTCCCGGACTGAAACAGCACAGAGCACCTTCTAAGCTAAATGCAATGTGTGCTCACTGGTGCTTACTGGGGTTGTCCACTCTGCCCAGTCGAATGTAAACTCCATGAGACAGTGATCTAAGTCTGCTTTGGTCACTGCTGTGCCCAGTGCCTAACACCCTGCTCAACACACAACAAACACTCAGTGAATATATGCTGAATGGACAACTGTCACAGCTGATTGTGGAGCTATGGCGAACAGAAAGTGCCACATCAGCACCAGCAGGGCAGAAAGCAGGCCCTCGGGCCCCACCTGGCCAGGAAGAGCGGAAGGGTTGGACACCCTACACATGCTGACAGGACTAATCCTCACTACCCCTTCCCCAGGCACGTGCCCTTCTCCCCCTCCCAGAAAGGCGAGGGGGTGGTCAGGCGGACATAAGCAACCAGGGCTGCTTTTCTGCTGTGCTCAGCCAAAGGATGAAAGGCAGAGAGAATGCAGGGACAGCTGGTAAACATGACTGCACCCCACCTGGCCAGGCTGACAGGAACTGAAAGTGCAGCCGCCAGCACAAGGCTTAGGGGCCCGCACTCTTTGCTTCACTCAGTAAAACTCATGAAGGGCGTAGGCACAGGGAGAAACGCCTCTACAGACTACTCAAAAGCACAGAGACAACAACAGTGAGGCACTGCTACAGACAGCTTCTGCCAAAGTCACCCAAGGGCACAACTAGCTGAAAATGCCCAACCTTGGCCACCAGCCTGCAGAGCCCAGCCCTGTCCCCTCACCTCCCCCACTCCCCACTCCCTCTGCCCAGGCCTCAGCCCTCAAACACACCAGGTGCTGGTTCCACCTGGCCTGCCGCACCCCCAATCTGTAAGGCTCTCAGAAGGGCTGGGCCCCCTCTTCTCCAGAACCTTCTGAAAGGCCTAAATCCTGCAGGGCATTGAACTGGGGTCTGCTGGCCCAAGGGCTGAGCTGCTCAAGTCAAGACAGGAAACTTGATAAGCCACCTCTCCTTTGGCAATCACCTCCAACTATGAAGAAAGTCTACAATAATACCTATTCCTCCACAGGGCTCGGCCAGAACACAGCCCACCCTGTCCTGGGCCCTGGGCATGAAAGAGCAGCTCAGCCTGAGCCACAGGCAGGGTGACATGCTGCCATCATTAATTATTATAGGACACCCCCAGAATCAAGGTTACAGAAACACGCCCAGTGATTTCTCATGGTGCAAAGCTACACGACTATGCCAGTTGGTGGGTTGAAAGCTACACAACTACACCAGTTGTTGGGCTGAAAGCTACACGACTACACCAGTTGTTGGGTTGAGGCAATGGCTGCGCTAGCTGTATGGCTAAGCATTCCATAACTAAAGCCAAAACATTTCATTATTCTAGTTACACTGTTTCTATTTGTATTGTCAGGGCTAGGGTATTATTTTAGAAACAAAGTTTCCATTTGTACTGTTAGGGCTAGGGCTCAGACCCTTCAAACCCATTGTATTGGGTCATAGACCCCTCACATGCCAGGGTGGGTCACCAGACCCCTCATATGCAGGTCCACACTAGGTAATTAGGAAATATCCTGGGAGCCATTGGCAGACGACTCGAGCTCAGTCCTCAGCAGCAGCTTACAGCAATAGTCTCCAGCAACAACAGAAGCAGTAGCGGCTGGTGACCTCTTGGGGCATCCCAGGGGCACTGGCAGCAACAGCTTACAACTCCAGCAGCAGTAGCAGCCTCCCTGCAGTGCACCCCCCGCCGGACATCCCGGGGACAGGGGGAGGTGGATCAGAGCCACTCACCCTTTATACTTAAGTCCATAACCCAGGACACCTGGGTACCCAGCAACAGCTTACAACTCCAGCAGCAGTAGCAGCCTCCCTGCAGTGCACCCCCCGCCGGACATCCCGGGGACAGGGGGCGGTGGATCAGAGCCACTCACCCTTTATACTTAAGTCCATAACCCAGGACACCTGGGTACCCACACACATCTAAATCAGACAGTAACCAAGGAACACCTGGGAGCATGTGCATATTTACATCAAATGCTCAGCAAGATTCTGAACATCTGAGGGAGCCCTGACCATTTTTCTATATTTTCTCTACACATGACGTAAACCAAATCCCCAGAGCCAACATGGGTGACTTCTCCCTGCAAATTCAGCACTCAGTAAAACATCTCCAAATGGTTTCTGCTGGAGATTTCGTTAACTGGCACCCGGAATTTAAAAGGCAAAAGCCATGTCATCCCTAAGTCTCAGGGTAAATAAGGCATGCTGTACCTCAGGCAGCCAAGGCCACAAGCGATACCCAGGAAGAGTGGCAGGGACTTGTGGGCTAACAGCTCCAGGGCCTCTGATGGAGTTTGGATGTGTTGTCCCCTCTAAAACTCATGTGGAAATTTGATCCCCAATGTGGCAGTGCTGGAAACTGATTGAGTCATGGGGGCAGATCCCTCATGAATTAATTAACGTTCTCCCTGGGGGAGGGGAGAGTAATGAGTGAGTTCTTGCTCTATTAGTTCCTGCAAGAGCTTGTTGTTTATAGGACCCTGGCACCTCCTCTCTCTCTCTCTTGCTTCCTCTCTCCATGTGATCTGCTTATACCTGCCGGCTGCTGCTACTTTTCTGCCATGAGTAGAAACAGCCTGAGGCCCGTGCTAGATGCAGCTGTCCCAGAATTGTAAGCCAAATAAACCTCTGTTCTTTATAAATTACCCAGGCTCAGGTATTCTGTTATAGCAACACAAAATGGACTAAAACAGCCTCGAAGATACTCACAGAACAAGTCTTGGCCCTTGTGGACCAGCCCTCTCCCCCAAGCCAACCCACCAAGGCCCAGTAAGCCACCAGGGCCAAGAACGGAGCCAGCCCCCAGGGAGGGTGTAACACCACCGCCCCTGAAACCCATCCCTCTCCCCACTCAACTTGTGCCCCCATATCAGTACTGAGCCACCCTTTCCTTTCCCCCCAATGGCCACCTGCAGGGTTCTTACCTAAGGACCAGGGACCCCTGAGGATTCACACATAGAATTTAGGAGTTACTCAAATGAGAAAAAATTATGCCTTTATTTTCTCTAACCTCTAGTTCAAACTTACATTTGCTTCAATTATTAATGTAAGGAACTAAGCACTAAGTATCAGTGGTGGGTGTGAATCTATCACCAACAGAAATCACAGGTATTTTTGTATCACATTATTGCTGTTACATCATCTCAAAATATCATTTTGCTC